GGGGTCAGTACTCTCAGTGCCTGAAAGAGCGGATGGACCCTCATTAACCCTAGGATACATACATACAAGTACCGTCTTTTGACTTTACAAAAATAGTCTTGTACGGAAATAACATACTTCGGGAAATCTTTAGAACTATTTTTATGTGCTATTACGGGGCTGAATATACGCAACATCTGGCTTTTTTTGCTTTTGTTCACACCAATTTAGATGAAAAAGGTTTGCTCAAATGACTTGAACAGTTTTGTCTACCAGCTATTTGAATCATTTCAAAACGAATGGTGTGTGCACTTGCAGCACTCAAAACATTCTGACACCAAAGAGTAGTTCTTATCGAAAGACAAAATTACAAAATCGTTCCCGTCTTGATCTTAATTAAATCTGCAATCTGAAACCATTTGATTTGTAAGCGATTTGCCACTCATGCTGAGGTTGTAGCACATATTTCAATACAAAAGTGTCTCGACATTCTGTCTAAACCAGTAGTGTTAAAGATATCTTTAAGACATAGACAGTGGGGAAATAAGAACATCAAAATGGTCCAAAACTGGAATTCACTGTAATGGCCGACCGAGGCTTTTAGTCGGTTCAATTAAATTCTCTCATACCGTGTCAAAGACTTGACACGCGTCAGAAAGAAATATTACAAAATGGTAACAAGTCTGATCGTCAACATGATATAAAATGTAGGTTAAAACCATATTTAGGAGCGAGCTATAAACTTTTCATCATGGCCTTATCTCACAAGTATTTGCATCATTATAAAAGGCCGACGGATTTTAATGAAAGCGACTTAAACATGGAGAGCAGACACGTACATGTAGTTTTTGTAGGATACATTATTTGGTTTCACACATTGCTTACTGCTGCTCGTTCCACAAATGGGGATACATTGAAAATGGTTCTCTCAGAACTTGAGGATTTAAAGACGAAGGTCAATACATGCGAGGAGAGACTGGTAATCAACGACCACAAGCTAATGGCGGTCACCAATGAACAGAGATTACTAGTAGCTAACATGGAAGAAAGACTTCTCGCTGCAGAGGAAAATCTTAAAACAACCGCAGAATTATATGAGAAAAAGTTAGCCAAGTCAGACAGTAAACTCCGTGCCGTTGAAAGAAAACTTACAGTATTTGAGGAGATGTACGGTCGCTTTACTAACAAAGGAGAGCCAATTGAAGACGTTAAAGAAACTGATTTGAACGTGAATACCACCGATTTTGACGGGGAAAATAGAAAACACAGTGCTGATGAAGAGAAGCTAGCAAACCTGAATGGGTTCCATGTTTCTGCAACAGTATATGACAGCACTTTAGGAGAATCTCTGTTTACAGATACTGGCAATAACCACGGAGATATAAGGGAAACTAACAACATCGACAATACACGACGTTCATCTACTCAAAAATCAGAAAGGGGTAATAAGCTTAATTTGCAGATAAATATCGTTTTGAAAAGTCTTATTCAATCATAAATCATTTAAAATGTTTTGATAGACAATATAAAATATAAATATGTATTTATATCTACAGCAATGCCATGATAATGCAATAGCTTTTTTCTCATTTTAGCATCGGATCCCATGTATCATAAGCGACTTGTGAATCGAGCTGTCAACCATCGTGTTGCCTTCACAGCGACCTTATCAGCCGGCGCTACCGAACTTGGGAAACAGCACACAATTCCCTTTAATGCAGTTCTGTTAAACGAAGGCCAGGCATATGACGCTATCACAGACACGTTCATATGTCCAGTAAACGGGATATATATCTTTCAATCAGCATTAATGAGTGATGGGGAGAAAGTTATCCAAACCGAAATCGTAAAAAATGGTGTGCCTATTGGTAGAGTGTATGCGAAGGGTACAAGTTATGGATATGATCAGGGGTTTAATTCTGCAACTGTACAATGCAATAAAGGTGATCACGTGTGGGTCAGAGTACACCTTCATTATGGCACCAGCATGCATAATGATTTCTTTTCTTCGTTTTCTGGACACATCCTATGGGAAACATAAAAACTCTATTTCAATTACTTTAATGTCCTTATCACTTTTTTAATTAGTGATTTGAAATGTATAATAGGCAAATACATGTATGTCTGGAATAACACATGTATATAATAAACATGCAGAGTCGCGAATTCTTTGGTGATTTTATTGACAATGACACAAAATCAACGAAACTGAGGACTATGAAGCAAAATATCTATTATATTATAATTTGGAGACCTTTAAAGCTACATGCCTCCAGATAAGTTTAAATATTTCAATGAACGCAAACTTGAGACAAAAATTTAATAAGATTGTAGAAAAGTAAAAAGATTCAAGTAATAATTTACAAGTTATATGCTATGAATTTTCAGGATTTATAACTATATTTTTCATATTTTGACCCCTTTTTGGTAATTTACGTGTGTTGCTAGTTCCAATGATAATGTGAAAAGTCCATGCCATGCCTACAAGCACATTCCTAACATTTGATTGATGAAGAACTCAAATTTAAATTTTGACAATGAAATAGAAAGAAAAGCACAGTCCCTAAGAACGCCAAAATTAAAATATAATTGAAAGTGGCTCGGTTTGATCAAGAGGCGGCAGTGGTTATTGCAAGCTACAGATATACTAGCACCGGCTTAAGCATAATATGATGAAAATGGTGAAAAATTGTATTTAAAAACACCCGACGGTTTGTTCATACGGCAGTGATCGATATAACCTTCACTGTGGCACGCACGTGCCATTCTATGACATGTGGCGTATGGTAACCAAGTAAAAAAAAGCATGAGTCTTAAATAAAATGAAATTTTGAAAGACACGATTCTTTATTAGTTTTATTTGTGTACTTAAAAAGTGAGGTCATCTATGGAGATTATCTATCCTATCACAAAAACGAAAAATTTGAAAAACAGAAACAACAGTCTACACATTAAAGTAACTGTGTTGTTTGTAAACAAAGTATCCGAGTGCTTAGTACACCCCATCCCAGGGCAAGGCATATTTTTACCGCAAGGCTATAATTTGATCAAACTTTGTCGCTGTCCACTAGATGTTTTATACCCAAACATTATCAAAATTTAGTAATTTGACCTTAAAGGTCAAGGTCAGTTATGGCTTACATTCAAGGTTAGTCTGGTCATCTTAAAGGAACATTCCAAAGGATTGTAATGTCCAAGCATGAAGACAATTCATTCATTAACAATAAAGCAATAGCCACTTTGGTCCATTTTTAGGTATATTTTCTAAGTTTTCAAGGGCATGTTGACGCAAAATACGCCAATCACAAAAGCTTTTGACAGAAATGTTGGCATTATAGATATGCATATAGGAGATGTTCTGGGCAATAAAATATCCGGAATAAAACAGTATACTAGTATTTCATCATCTTTTGTGACCTTGATATTGCATATATTGACCGAACTTACATGTGTCTCAGACGTAGTAATGAAAATGACCATTTGTATAACAAGCCATCAATAAATGATGACAAAATAGTCCTTATGCCAATCTTCATATTTTTACCTGAAATTTGACCTCTATGCGTGACCTTGGCCTTGGCTGCAGGGACCTGAATTTTACGCGCGACACTCTGCCTAACAATGGTAAACATTTATGCCAAGTTATATTGAAATTCCCTCAATGTGTAAACGTTTTGCTTCGGACAAGCGTTTTTCAATGAGCTCTAAGTGTAACCTTGACATTTAAGCCTAGAGTACAGCTGGCCCATGCAAGTGACACGGCTTGTCAAGTTGCCATAGTGGTCAATATTTCTATGTAATTTTAATAAAATCCCTCTATGTGTGAAGGAGATATACTCCGGATAAAATTGGACTCCGTCCGCCCGCCTGTCCGACCTATAAAACGGCACGTTTTTGAAACAGGTGTATTACTGAAAAGGTATACCTTTAGTTCTACGAAACATTTTAAATTAAAACTGAATTAAACCTTTAAATTACACCTGATGCACAGATCTTGATTCTTTAACAGACTAAAATGTCGAAAGAAAAGAAATCGTAATTTGACTTCAAAAGTATCGTCCAAAGAAATTAAGACCTAAAATGTTACACTTATGTTTATTTCAATGTGCAAATTGTGCTGTATGAAAATATTCCAAATTATGTATTTAGTTTCACTAGTTAATCAATCCGAGTCACTTGGGTCAAACTTTTTTTAACATTAAAACATCTAATTCCACGTTAATCTTATTGGAAATTTCGATTCAAAATGAAATTGGTGAAGAACGTGTCTCAATCAAAACGTGTTAATGTGACATTATGCCAATCAATCCAAGAGAACATGTATATAGTGAATCACAAGGTGAAAGTCAAAATAAGTTAACATTTTGCCGTAACTCCTTTCAATTTCATAATTTAGTTCGCAAGAACGACACGTAACTCATGTACACATGGAAATGTCATGCTTAGTAAACTATTGTAATTTTTAAAAATTCATGTAAGACAGGAACCTTGAAAAAATATTTGTCTCAGACCAGACAGGAAATAGCTGTTAACACTTTTTACTCGCTACAACTTGAGCCGTCCGGTTAGCTCAATAAAGTAGAGCGTTGGACAGGTCGATTCCGGACCGCGCAGGTCACTTTCGTAGTGTTTGATCATGAAATCTTTTCTACGGTCATTCACACTACCTTTGCCCTAGCATGTACAGAAGTTATCAGTTCCTTGCTAAAGTGAAGGCAACTAGTGCTGGTAAACGGTTTGACACCTTACCCGGGCACGATGCGGTGACTGAACTATGCTGGGTAAATTTAATGACTCGCTGTCATAACTACCAACACCACCACCACCACTTAAACTTGGTATTCTCCAATAAGCACCATTCAACGTATTTCTCCTTTCTGATCAAGACCATGTGTCACTAATAAATTGATAATAAGCGTAATTTACAATATGATAAGAAATGTAGGTTAACACCATATTAAGAAGCACGGTCAAGTGTCAACGAGTTCTATCTCCGAAAACAAATTGCGATATCATAAAAAGCCACAACGACATAAACATGACTATCAAAAACGTACATTTAGTTTTGTTTGGTTATATTATTTTGTTTAACACACATCTAGCTGCTGCTGATGCTGCCACAAATGGTGATACATTGACAAGAGTTCTCTCTGAACTTGAAGAATTAAAGGCGAACGTCAGCACATGCGAAGAAAGACTGATGGTAGTGGAGGATCACAAAAATGACAACACGTTGAAAGCGTCCACAAATGAACAGAGATTGGCTCATATGGAGGAAATGCTTCTCGCTGCAGAGAGAAAAATTAGAATAACCGAAAATATTTATGAGAGAAAGTTAGCTCAGACAGAGGGTAAACTTCGTGGAGCAGAAACCAAACTAAACGTCGTTGAAGAGCTACATGACCGCTTAGCACACATAGAGCAGTTGATCGTGAGCTTTAGTTCCAAAGATGGTGACATTGAATCGGTCAAGGAAGCAGCCAACAGTTTGAGAATACAACTGCCACAGAATCCGATGAGGGAAAATATATCTAATGCAAAGATATTTGGTATCCACGAAGAAAAACATGGGGATGAAACCGACAATAAAACCAACACTCAAAGAGATGACTTTAACAATATCGCTGAAACACGACGATCATCTAGTCGAAAAATAGATAGAGGTAAGAAACCTCTTATATTCAAAACTGTGTTTCTATGATGAAAATACGATGGCACGATGATGAAATGGTGAATCGCAATGGTATAACATGACGGCAAAATTCGATGGGAAAATGGTGGACGCACGATGGGATAATGCAGTATTACATCACCATTTTACGATTGTACCATCGTATTATAGCGTTTTCATCCTGATTTTGAGGAGAAAAATAACGCCAATAAACACGTTAACAAGTAAGATTTATGTTTTGAACCTTGCCAATGCAAAAGTTCATTTAAAAGGCGGTAGAGGCGCACATAATTCGTGTGTAACATTGCCTTTTTCATAACATCTTGAGGACCAATCGTTTTAATTGAATCCAAATTTAATACATCAAAAATACTTTGCATGTGTTTAGGACCAATATTGTATTTATTGGCGAATGCAATAAAAATATTGTTTACGCCAAGTTTGTATAACGCAACAAACGTCAGTCAAAATATCTACACATTGTTTATAATAAATTGATTATCCTACAACCATAATGGTAACAGGATAAGGAATTTAAGTTCCCCTCGTCTATCTTGCTTTTCTGTCAAACCCCTCGTGACAATGTAGAAAATCAAATCAAAGATCAGATACTATATCAACAATAGAACATTACATATAAGATTTGAATTTCTTTTTTGTATATTTTTAGGGTCCAACTTTCCCTACTCGAAGCGACTTTTGGGTGTAGTCGTAAATCACAGGCCTGCTTTTTCAGCCTTTTTATCCGATCACGTATCTGGACTGGGAAAAGAGCAAACAATTCCATTTGATGACGTTTTGCTAAATGAAGGTAATGCGTATGACCCAGTTCTGCATGCATTCATATGTCCGGTCAATGGGATATACATGTTCCAATCAGCCGTTATGTGTAATCATAATCAATATATGCAGACTGAAAGGATGGCACAACATTGACAAGAATGTACTCTTCGGGAGCTACCGGTAGTGATGGGTATGATCAGGGCTTTAACTCTGCCATTGTGAGATGTAATCAAGGGGAAAGAGTATGGGTTATAGTGCATAATACATACGGGACAGCAGCATTCAGCTGGCGGTACTCTTCTTTTTCAGGCTACATTCTGTGGGAAGTGTAATTTTACTGTAAAGAAATAATGTCATTAAAGTATAACAAAGCTTCTTAAAGGAAATGAGAATTTATTGCCCTTTGTATAAAAATATACATCAAATTAACATAAGTAAATATTGAAATGAACACTTCAGTGATAAGGTAGATTAATCTAAGAACACAATATGGTAAGGCACTTGTAACTTTATTAAAACAAAAAATAAAATAAACTGTTGCCTATTTAAATCAGCAAAAATTTATTCTATTTTTGAAACACAAATCTGAAGTACCACAGGTTGAGAACACAATGGCTACAAGTTCTAAGTCGTAACATGATTAACATGTGTGTTATGAAAGGGCCCTTAGAGCACAAATGAGAAATGAAAGTACATGTATAATTTTTGATGGGTTTTATGTAGCACCAACACAACATAAGTCATATGGCCACTTTTCTGGTGGAGGAAAGCCTCAAGCAAAGGCGGGAACCCGAGTAGAACCACAACTGAAAGGAACACATGCAAGGGCTAACATATTTGAAATACATGTAAAATACATAAACATATAGGAACACAAGAAGGTAAAGCATGAAGACTATGATTTTGAACACAACAGTTACAACAAGTTCTTCATTACTAAAGAAGAACACAAGTTTCTATAATTTATAATACCTTAGAGTAAAGCTTATATACAAGTGGCAATCCCCTTAAAGTAAAGAATGTAAAAGTATAAACTTCAAATCTCTCTCCAAATGATATCTAGAAGAAATATATTAAGAACTGTGTGTTTCATCTTTATCATTTCAGTTGTATAAGGCAGTAGAAAAACAAATTTTATTATACAGCATAATATTCCCGCATTTTTTTTTACTTTATATGTGTTGCATAATTTTTAAAGAATCCAAAGACAATCATATACAGATTAATTCTGTCTATAAACTTATCTAATAGATGACTTTTTTACAAATTATTTAACACTATTTAAATCATTGAGCAGCTTTTTTACAAGTTATCTAACACTTTGTTAAAGCATTGTGCAAAGTCCAGGGAGGAAAACTGTATCAAACTTACACTGGCAGTGCAAGGCTTTATACATAAATCTGGACAAATTAACTATTCTGCATCAAACTATGCTATAATCAATTGGTAGAAGTCTAATAATTATTTACTATAATTTGATTAGGTAATTGGGTCTTAGAAGAATAATGCGTGAGGTACAGCTGCAAAGCTTTGTAATTAATCTCTTAATGTAGTGAAAATTTAAGTGTCAGGTGTGTTAGAATCATCAATATATCAATCTTTTTGTTGAATACAAAAATTCAATTAAGTTTAAAAATTAATTGTAAAACAAATTCTATTCTATATTTTGTATCAAAATAATTTCATGCTGCAGTAAATGCATTGCAGTAAGAAATTCTAATATATTTTGTTCAGAGATAAAATAAGCTTTAAAACAATTTTTCAGCTGTATATTGTGTGACAATTCATATAAACGGGAATTGTAGTCGCTTAACAAGCTTTTAAAACATTCATTAATAATTACTTATGAATACTTTTGAAACAAATATATATTTGCCTATGATTATATTTAATGTTCTGAGCCAAGACTAAGGGTTTGCCGACCTTTTTAAGGTAAGGATACATGCCAAGAAAATGTCTGTCATTTCAACAAAATTTGAATTACATTCTCTACTACAGAATTGTTTTGAATAATAAACAGCAGTAAGTTAAAACTTAAACCTAGTAAGAAATCAATCAAATGGAATGCAAAAGGTTAGGGGTTTTCTTTTTGTTTCACAAAATATTCCTCACTAACCCGTCTTGATCTTAATTAAATTTGCAATCTGAAAGCTTTGATTTTTAAGCGATTTGTCACTAATGCTTAAGTTGTAGCAGATATTTCAATAAAAAGTGTCTAACATTGTATTCCCATGTTTTGTTCTAAACCAGTAGTGTTTAAGATATCTTTAAGAAATAGACAGTGGGGAAATAAGTACATCAAAATTGCCCAGACAGGAAATCACTGTAATGACCGACCGAGGCTTTTAGTCGGTTCAATTAAGTTCTCTCATACCGTATCAAAGCCTTGACACGCGTCAGAAAAATAATTTACAAAATGGTAACAAGCCTGATCGTCAACATGATAAAAAATGTAGGTTAAAACCATATTTAGGAGCGCCCTATAAACTTTTCCGCACGTCCTTATCTCACAACTATTTACATCATTATAAAAAGCCGACGGATTTTAATGGAAACGACTTAAACATGGAGAGCAGACACGTACACTTAGTTTGTTTAGGGTACATTATTTGGTTTCACACACTGCTTACTGCTGCTCGTTCCACAAATGGGGAAACATTGAAAATAGTTCTCTCAGAACTTGAAGATTTAAAGGTCAATACATGCGAGCAGAGACTGGGGATACACGACAACAAGTTAATGACGGTCACCTATGAACAGAAATTACTAGTAGCTACCATGGAAGAAAGAATTCTCGCTGCAGAGGAAAATCTTAAAACAACCACAGAATTATATGAGAAAAAGTTATCCAAGTCAAGCCGTTGAAAGAAAACTTAAAGTGTTTGAGGAGACATACGGTCGCTTAACTAACAAAGGAGGGCCAATTGAAGACGTTGAAGAAACTGATTTGAACAAGAATACCACCGATTTTGACGGGGAAAATAGAAAACACAGTGCTGATAAAGGGAAGCTAGCAAACCTGAATGGGTTCCATGTTTCTGAAACAGTATATGACAGCACTTTAGAAGAATCTCTGTTGACAGATACTGACAATAACCACGGAGTTATAAGGAAAACTAACAACATCGACAATACACGACGTTCATCTACTCAAAAATCAGAAAGGGGTAATAAGCTTAATTTGCAGATAAAGTCTTATTCAATCATAAATCATTTCAAAAGTTTTGGTAGACAATATAAAATATAAATATGTATTTATATCTACAGCATGCCATGATAATGCTTTAGTTTTTTTCTCATTATAGCATCGGATCCCATATATCATAAGCGACTTGTGAATCGAGCTGTCAACCATCGTGTTGCCTTCACAGCGACCTTATCAGCCGGCGCTACCGAACTTGGGAAACAGCACACAATTCCCTTTAATGCAGTTCTGTTAAACGAAGGCCAGGCATATGACGCTATCACAAACACGTTCATATGTCCAGTGAACGGGATATACATGTTTCAGTCAGCTTTAATGAGTTATTTTGAGGAACATATCCAAACTGAAATCGTAATAAATGGTGCATGTATTGGTAGAATGTATGCGAAGGGTGCAAGTACTGGATATGATCAGGGGTTTAATTCTGCAACTGTACAATGCAATAAAGGGGATCACGTGTGGGTCAGAGTACACTATCATTATGGCACGAGCATGTTAAATGATTTATTTTCTTCGTTTTCTGGACACATCCTGTGGGAAACATAAAAAACTCTCTTTCAATTACTTTAATGTCCTTATCACTTTTTTCAATTAGTAATTTGAAATATACAATAAATAAATACATGTATGTTTGGAATTACACATGTATATAATAAACATACAAAGACGCGAATCCTTTTGTGATTTTATTGACAATGACACAAAACCAACAAAACTGAGCACTTTGAAGACAAATATCTCTTATATCATATTTGGAGACATTTCAAAGCTACAGGCCTCCAGATAAGTTAAAATATTTCAATAAATGCAAGCTTGAGAAGAAATTTACTAAGATTGTAGAAAAATTAAAAGATTCAAGATTCAAGTAATAATATACATGTTATATGTGATAAATGACTGAATTTTCAGGATTATAAGTATATTTCTACTGCGTTACGAACGTAGTAAGGGTTATATTTTCATATTTTGACATCTTTTTGGTAATTTACGTGTGTTGCAAGTGCCATTGATAATGTGAAAATTGCTTCCTTTTGGTTATTTCACAATATCATACATTTAAATACATTTTTAAAATTTCATGAAAATTGGCATAAATCTGGTGGAATGCTGCTTTAAGTCGTATCCCAACCCATACAAGCACAGTGTGTTAACTTGAGTCCAAGTATAAAACAAAATCGACAATGGTGCCTATTCATGAATAATTTTAAGCTACGATCCATGCCATGCCTACAAACACAGCACTTACATTTGATTGAAGAAGAATTCAAATTTAAATTTAGAAACATTGTTTTGACAACGGAATAGAGAGAATAGCGCAGTCCCTAAAGAACGCCACAATTTAAATATAATTGAAAGTAGTGCTGGCTCGGTTTGATTAATAGGCGGTAGTGGTTATTGCAAGCTACAAATATACTAGCACCGGCTTAGGCATATGATGAAAATGGTGAAAATTTGTATTTAAAACATCCGGCGTTGATCGATAGAACTTTCATTGTGGCACGCACGTATCATTCTATGACATTTGGCGTTTGGTTACCAAGTAAAAGAATGCATGAGTCTTAAATAAAATGAAATTTTGAAAGACACGATTCTTTATTAGTTATATTTGTGTACTTAAAAAAAGTGAGGTCATCTATAGAGATTATCTATCCTATTACAAAAACGGAAAATTTGAAAAACAAAACAACAGTTTACACATTAAAGTAACAGTGTTGTTTGTAAACAACGTATCCGAGTGCTTAGTACACACCATCCCAGAACAAGGCATATTTTGACCCCAAGGCTTTAATTTGATCAAACTGTGTCGCTGTCCACTAGATAATGTTTTATAACCAAGCATGACAAAAATTATTAATTTGACCTTAAAGGTCAAGGTCAGTTATGACTTACAGTCAAGGTTAGTCTGCTCATCTTAATTAAAGGAACATTTCAAAGGATTGTAATGTCCAAGTATGAAGACAATTCTTTCATTAACAATAAAACAATAACCACTTTAGTCGATTTTTAGGTATATTTTCTAAGTTTCCAAGGGCAATGTTGTCGCAAAATACGCCTGTCACAAAAGCTTTCGACAGAGATGTGGGCATTATAGATATGCATATAGGAGATTTGATCTGGGCAATATAATATCCGGACATAATTAGTAAAATGTATATTTCATCATCTTTTGTGACCTTGACATTGCATTTATTGATCTTAATTACATGTGTTTCAGCCTTAGTAATGATAATAAACATTTGTGTTACGATTAAGGCCCCCACGGTTATACGTTTAAACGGCTTCGTTTCGATTTTCATTCCTAAACGTTTACGATATTTTTACCGTTTAATCGAAATAACCATATTGTCTTACAAAATATCTTAATCATTGCCAGTAATCACGGCTTTTATCAATTCCAGTTTGTTTATTCCAAATTAAAAATGGAAAATATGTGTTTACAACCGTCCACACAGCATCACCGTGCAATAATTGCTTATGGCATAATACATTTTTGGAAAAGTTGATTTTCCTTTGATCTTTCAAAAGAGCGAAATGGGGATACCATGCAGAAAATGTGTGCCGACACAATCGTGATGAGCCCTGAACATCTACGATCCCTAAATAAATGTTGACTAAATGGTCCTTATACAACGTTACAGTCGTTGAAAATGCTACTAAAATGTCGAAAGAAAATAAATCGTTATTGGACTTTAAAAAGTATTCCCCAATGAAATTAAGACCTAAAATGTTACACTAGTTTATCAGTCCCAGTCACTAGAGTCAAACATCTGATTCCACGTTAATCTTATTGGAGACAAACTGATAAAATCCCGATCCAAAATGAAACTGGTGTGAAAACCATTGGTTTTGAAGAATCAAAACGTTTTAATGAGACATTATGCCAATCAAACCAAGAGTACATGTATATATTGAATCAACAGGTGAAAGTCAAAATAAAGTTTACTTTTTGCCGTAACTCCTTTCATTTTCATAATTTAGTTAACAAGAACGACAAGTAACTCATGTGCACAAGGAAATGTATGTAAATACTCATGCTTAGTACACTATTGTACGTTTTAAAAAAATCATGTAAGAAAGGGACCTTTAAAAACATTTGTTTCAGACCAGACAGGAAATAACTGTTAAACACTTTTTACTCGCTACACTTTGAGCCGTCCGGTTAGCTCAATAAAGTAGGGCGTTTTACTGGTCGATTCCGGACCGCGCATGTCACTTTCGTTGTGTTTGATCACACTATTCCTTTGCCCTAGCATGTACAAATGTTATCTTGCTAAAGTGAAGGCAACTAGTGCTGGTAAACTGTGTGACAGCTTGCCCAGGCACGATGTGGTGGCAGAACTATTCTCGGGTAAATTCAATGTGACTCGCTGTCATAATCCAGAGTGTAAACTACCAACACCACCACCACCACTTCAACTTGGTGTTCCCCCATAAACACCTTTCAACGTAGTTTTCCTTTCTGATCAAGACCATGTGTCACTAACAAATTGATAATTAGCGTAATTTACAATATGATAAAAACTGTAGGTTAAAACTATATTAAGAAGCACTGTCAACGAGTTCTTACTCCGATAAAAATGCGATATCATAAATAGCCACTAGTCGGAATGAATAGAGAAAATAAGAATCCCTAAAGAATGTCCAACACAGCACAATTGATAATGTTGCAGGCTCGGTTTGATTGAGCCTGCTCATGGACGGTACTGTCAAGTGAAACTACCGTCCACGCCCCCTCGCACCGGCTTAAGCAGAATTCAACATTTAATATGAACTGGTACAATTTTGAATTTAAAAACATCCGCAGATGTGTTCATATGGCGGTCATCCTGGAACCTTTAATGTGACACGTAAGTGCCATTCCATGAAAAGCGGCATATGGTCCCCAAGTTAAAAAAATGCGTGTGCCCTAATCGAGAAAACAATGAAAACGACCTAAGCATGACTACCAAAAACGTGCACTTAGTTTTATTTGGTTATATTATTTTGTTTAACACACAGCTAGCTGCTGCTGCTGTCACAAATGGAGATATATTGACAAAAGTTCTCTCTGAACTTGAAGAATTTAAGGCGAACCTCAGCACATGCGAAGAAAGACTGATGATAGTGGAGGTTTACAAAAATGACAACACGTTGAGTGTCCACAAATGAACAGAGATTGGCTCACATGAAGGTAAGACTTCTCGCTGCAGAGAGAAAACTTAGAATAACCGAAAATATTTATGAGAAAAAGTTAGCTCAGACAGAGAGTAAACTTCGTGGAACAGAAACCAATCGTCATTGAAGAGCTACATGACCGCTTAGCACACATAGAGAAGTTGATTGTAGGCTTTAGTTCCAAAGATGGTTACATTGAATCGGTCAAGGAAGCAGCTAATAGTTTGAGAATATAACTGCCGCATAATTCGATCAGGGAGAAGATATCTAATGCAAAGATATTTGGTATCCACGAAGAAAAACATGGGGATGAAACCGACAATAAAACCAACAATCAAAGAGATGACTTTAACAATATCGCTGAAACACGACGATCATCTAGTCGAAAAATAGATAGAGGTACGAAACCTCTTATATTCAAAACTGTGTTTCTATGATGAAAATACGATGGCACGATGATGAAATGGTGAATCGCAATGGTATAACATGACGGCAAAATTCGATGGGAAAATGGTGGAAGCACGATGGGATAATGCAGTATTACATCACCATTTTACGATTGTACCATCGTATTTTCATTATCGTATTATAGCGTTTTCATCCCGATTTTGAGGAGAAAAATAACGCCAATAAACACGTTAACAAGTAAGATTTATGTTTTGAACCTTGCCAATGCAAAAGTTCATTTAAAAGGCGGTAGAGGCGCACATAATTCGTGTGTAACATTGCCATTTTCATAACATCTTGAGGACCAATCGTTTGAATTGAATCCAAATTTAATACATCAAAAATACTTTGCATGTGTTTAGGACCAATATTGTATTTATTGGCGAATGCAATAAAAATATTGTTTACGCCAAGTTTGTATAACGCAACAAACGTCAGTCAAAATATCTACACATTGTTTATAATAAATTGATTATCCTACAACCATAATGGTAACAGGATAAGGAATTTAAGTTCCCCTCGTCTATCTTGCTTTTCTGTCAAACCCCTCGTGACAATGTAGAAAATCAAATCAAAGATCAGATACTATATCAACAATAGAACATTACATATAAGATTTGAATTTCTTTTTTGTATATTTTTAGGGTCCAACTTTCCCTACTCGAAGCGACTTTTTCGAAGAAAAACATGGGGATGAAACCGACAATAAAACCAACACTCAAAGAGATGACTTTAACAATATCGCTGAAACACGACGATCATCTAGTCGAAAAATAGAGAGAGGTAAGAAACCACTTATACTCAAAATTGAGTTTCTATGATGAAAATACGATGACACGATGGAGAAATGGTGAATCGCAATGGTATAACATGACGGCAAAATTCGATGGGATAATGGTGGACGCACGATGGGATAATTTCCAAGATGCAGTATTACATCACCATTTTACGATTGTACCATCGTATTTTCATTATCGTATTATAGCGTTTTCATCCCGATTTTGAGGAGAAAAATAACGCCAATGAACACGTTAACAAGTAAGATTTATGTTTTGAAC